TCTTCTGTGTAAGTAAGGCCGAGGATCATTTGTGTCTGTGTAAGTGTGTCCAGGTTCTGGTTCTCTGTACTCTGGTTCTCAGTCTCCAGGTTCTGGTTCTCTGTATTCAGGATCTGGTTCACTGTGTTCAGGTTCTTGTTCTCAGTGTTCAGGTTCTGGTGCTCTGTACTCAGGTTCTGGTTCTCAGTGTTCAGGTTCTGGTTCTCAGTGTTCAGCTTCTAGTTCTCTGTATTAAGGTTCTGGTTCACTGTATTTGGGTTCTGGTTCTCTGTACTCCGGTTCTGGTTCTCAGTGTTCTGGTTCTCGGTACTCAGGTTCTGGTTCTCAGTGTTCAGGTTCTGGTTCTCTGTACTCTGGTTCTGGTTCTCCGTGTTCAGGTTCTGGTTCTCTGTACTCCGGTTCTGGTTCACTGTGTTCAGGATCTGGTTCTCTGTGTTCAGGTTCTGGCTCTCTGTACTTGGGTTCTGGTTCACTGTGTTCAGGATCTGGTTCTCTGTGTTCTGGTTCTTTTTCTCTGTGTTGAGGTTCTTTTTCATTGTGTTCAGGGTCTTGTTCTCTGTATTCAGATTCTGGTTCACTGTGTTCAGGTTCTGGTTCTTTGTATTAAGGTTCTGGTTCTCTGTTCTCCGGTTCTGGTTCTCAGTGTTCAGGTTCTGGTGCTCTGTACTCAGGTTCTAGTTCTCAGTGTTCAGGTTCTGGTTCTCTGTACTCAGGTTCTGGTTCTCTGTACTCAGGTTCTTGTTCTCTGTTCAGGTTCTTGTTCTCTGTGCTCAGGTTCTGGTTCTCTGTACTCAGGTTCTTGTTCACTGTATTCAGGTTCTTGTTCACTGTGTTCAGGTTCTGGTTCTCTGTATGCAGGTTCTGGTTCACTGTGTTCAGGTTCTGGTACTTTGTACTCAGGTTCTGGTTCTCAGTGTTCAGGTACTGGTTCTCTGTACTCAGGTTCTGGTTCTCAGTGTTCAGGTTCTACTTCTCTGTACTCAGGTTCTGGTTCTCAGTGTTCAGGTTCTGGTTCACTGTATTAAGGTTCTGGTTCACTGTATTTGGTTTCTGGTTCTCTGTACTCTGGTTCTGGTTCACTGTGTTCAGGATCTGGTTCTCTGTGTTCAGTTTCTGGTTCTTTGTACTCGGGTTCTGGTTCTCTGTATTCAGGTTCTGGTTCACTGTGTTCAGGTTCTGGTTCACTGTGTTCAGGTTCTGGTCCTCTGTACTCAGGT